GGAGAAATTCCTTGAATTTCATTACCAGCAAATGCAAAGTCTTCATGGACATTCTTGAACCGATCTCTACCTCAAAACAAAATGTCAACTTCTCTTGTATAAGGTTGTTATGCCAAGAAAAGCTCCTTTTTTATTACAACAACGGATATGATATATATGCCACTAACGGCTCCGTCGGACATAATGTATCTGGCTTCTCGGTCGTGAAACATCTATCTGAAACAATACTTCGAGTCAAAGTGGAAGAGGAACTTTCCTCTACTTTTATTGAGTTGCTCGCCATTCGACATGCTATCATTGTTGCTATTTCCGATGGTATCAGACGTTTTGTTATTTTTTCCGACAGCAGGTCAGCTCTACTTCTAATAAATAAAAGAGATGCAGAAAATCAATATGTATTTGACATTCACAAGACGTTGCACGAATCTCAAGTGGATGACAGTCAGCTCGTTTGGGTACCTGGCCACTGCGGCTTTTTTTTAAATGTAAAAGCCGACTTTCATGCAGGGAGAGCTCGTGTTGATGGGACAATTTTGTCCATCAAATATACTCCCAATGAAGCAATTCGGGCAATTCGCAACCACATCCTTCAACAACTAAACGACGAATTTAAAGTAATCGCGCGCGTTAAATCCAATCGTCTTTTCTATAAATTAAATCCCACATTTCAATTCAAACCCTTCTCTGTATCTTATTTTAATTCCTGGGAAATCAAAATTCTTTATAGACTCATAAGTGGTCACACTTATGACAAAGTTTATTTAAAAATGATTCGCGCTATACCATGTGATGTTTGTGAAGTTTGCAATGTTGTTGAGTCTGCTGAGCATCTAATCTTCAGATGTCACAGGCTTGATGGCATTAGAGATTCTTTTAGCTTCTTCAAGTTATATGGCTGTCTCCTCGATCTCTTTGCAGCAAAAAATGTACGTCATCTCAGGGAACTAACTTGCTTTATTAGAAAAGCCAATTTATCCTTTTACAATTTTTCTTTTTCCTCCTCTTTCCTTTTTTTTTTTTTGTTTTTTCTTTTTTTGCGTTCAATCATTTTCAATTATCATGACATTCCTTTTCGTTTTCAGCCAAAGTTTGCAACACTGTCTGACTTTCAAGAACTCAACAAGCACACTTACACACACACACACAATTACATTTAACATGCTCACTCCAGTTATTACGGCCGCTCTTTTCCGTTGTTACGTTTTATACATAATCGTGACTAAAAATTACAACAGTTTATTATCTGGACATATAGGCCACAAGTCTATTGGCTTAGTCCATCTCTGTTCAACATACAAAAAAAAAAAAAAAAAATTTTAATAAGTTTGAAAACTTTTAAAAACGTATAACGCAATAAAGAAATTAAATAGAAGAATAAATTGCAAGAATTTTTTCACCATCTCCTTATCTAATCAGAACCCCTTTAGCTAAATCCTCTGTGCTTAACATAATAACACCTGGGTGCCTGAAATTCGTATTAAAATTTGTTTGATAAGATAAATTCGAAAAAAAAGAAAATGCGATTACATTCAAATATCTACCAAAATAATCGTAAGAAAATTTAATCATAAACTGGAATGCCGGCAGGTTTTACGCAATATTTTTTTTATCTAAATAATAAATTTATATACGATTCATATATTAACGCATTTTCGATGTAGGGTATATTATTACTTTTGTACAGATGTAGCTAGCATCAAGAGAAGGCTTAAAGGCGGTGTTGATTTTTCGCAAATCAACTTTTTTATTGATTTAGTAGATGCTTTGAATCCTCTAAACCGCCCGGGCCAAAAATCATTATCTAAAAGAAATTATTTCCTTGAAGTTTCGAAATCTACAACAACCAAACTCCGAAAAGTGCGCCGAGAAGTTACGTTTTTACCCAGTGACAACTTGTGTAATTTCCCTAATACATTAAATAAATTCATCATTAAATTCATCTAAAAGCATTTCCAAACAAAAATACGTTAACATAGTTTCATCGAGACAACACTTGCGATGATGTGACTCTGAAAGAGATGCAAATGGATTCAGTGCCTCTGTCGAGAAGCTGAAAGTGTGTGATGGAGGCTTTTTTTTTAAATTTTCTTATCATTCCTTCTACTATATAGCAACACGTTAGAGCGTAGAGGCAAGCTCTAGCATAAAATTTTGTTGGAAAGGGAACGAAGAGGATTACTCTATAATTTTTTGTTTAGATCTAACTGTTTGTCAGATTATCTGTCCACGTAAATTTGCGTTCCCGCTGCCGGTCAGTCGCAATGTTTGAGATATTTTTTAAGAAATTTTGACTCCAAGAACGAATCCTATTAAAAACGGATTGGGTCGTAGCACATTCACGACCACTCTACTTATAACGCTTCGTTTTGAAAAATTTGAAATTTTCAAAATTTTTTGAGAAAAATCGCTCGGTAATAATATTTCTGAGTTGAAGAATTTCATTAGGAGAAATGATAAAAAATATTTAATAATCGAACTTCCGCGACTATATCACTTGCGTATCTGCCGCTATTGCTTTGGGCTGTTGTTCTGGTACAGCATATGAATTCTTTAAGGAAGGAACCATTCCTCAATTGAGGCTATCTATGGATAGACTCATTCTTTAGTATTATCTTAAGTCGTAATGAAAGGGTCTCATAAGTTATTTCAGATAAGTTAATTGAAAAACGTCAATCGGAAGGAATAATGTCCGATAGAAATGGCAGCTAGGATTTCACAATTTACTTTAGTCCTTCCTTATGTAATGGTCTAAGTTGTTGTCAGTGGCAACGTCTCTATATAACGTTTTACTTTTGAATAGTTCGGAGAGCATTTTAAAGATGATGAGCTGATGTTTATTACTTTCAGACTTAAGTCATGATATTTCAGCGTGAGATAGCAATCGTCGATTCTTCATACCCGTAAAAAGAAAACTTGGATATTCCTTAAATAGCATATCAATGTTCGAAACAGCTGTTTGGTTTAGATATCAAGGAAATGACGTAGACTACCATATCAAGCTGGAGTTTGCCGAGAAGTAAACAAAATGCTGTGAGGGAGAGAGGGATAGAGGGGGAAGAGAGAGAGAACTGTTAAAGTTAAGTTAATTTTTATCACCATAAAATTCCTGAAAATCCCACTGCTCCGGTAGTGTATAGTTTAATTAATCTCTTGGTAAAGATTCTTACATAATCCAAATAGTTCAATTAGTACATATATGTGTACGTATATATATATATATATTATATATATATTATATATATATTATATATATATATGTACATATGCATATATAAAGTTTACATATAAGTAGATGTATATAACTACATATATATAAAAATGCATATATATACTTCAATTCCATTTTCTATACACACTTTACTTTAAATATCCATAATTCTGTTAAAGCCACGCAAGCTTTTAAAATGCATTAAAAATGTAAATGTTTTGGGAATTGCGAAATAGCATACAAGTACATATGCTTATGTACGAATGCTTGTAAGAGACAAAAGATTTAAAACACATTATGAGGATTTGCCCATCCACGCATCTAAGTTTATATACGAAATACTAGTGAAGATTAAAGTAGCAAAAATCTGTTAAATAGAATTAAAAGTAAATGAAAAGTGCAATATAATATCAGTGTATTTATAAGGTTAAGCTAACATATACTACTACTCCTCGTCACATTTCACCTAAGGCGTACAAATGTTTATGATCGCTGTAAAATTCTTAGTCAATTCAATTCTTCAGTTATTCGGCTGTCCATCCGTCAATCTCGCATTGAACTTAAGACAGAAGTCTGACGTTTGGTATTTATACTTTTATGCTTTGTTTACATACAATTTCAAATGGGAATAAGATTTGTTTGTAACCATGCCTACATTTAGGGAAAAGTTGTGAGAGACTTTACAAAAAAAAAAATTTCAAATACGGTTATTAAGAGAATTTGCAACTCTCGCAATAGATGATGTGTGAAAAAAGATAGAAGTAATTATATCTCTCGCCAGCCTACAGACACCTGTTTATTTAATCCTAATGATTATGATGGTATGAGTCGAAAATAAGACCCAAGGCTGATGAGCTAGCAACTAACGCCTTTTCGTACTTGTTTGAAATGGCTGGCTCTCCTATAGGCCTACACCATTATAGAATTACTTTAAAATTATATTAATTACATTAAATATCACATTATCACATTAACTGAACTGAATATATCATGCATTATATTTACAATTTTATATACTTATGAATAAGAGATATAGTAAGCCCCGCTCATTAATTGACAAAATATAAATATAATATAATATAAAAGTATAACATAAATGTGTATAATATATAATATATAAGTTATGTTTTCATATAAAATTTCTTAATTTCTTTTATTTTACAAGTTAGCTTAAAATTAAACCGTCATAATTTTTAAACAAAGTCCTCGCTAAAATCCCTGTTAAAAGTCAAAGCAAAGAGTTTCTTGTAAAAAATACTCAAAAAATGGCAGCTCTGTTAAATGGTTAAATGCCCAACTTAACAACTTAAAAGGCAACGCCATTCAGCCAATTGAAAACTTTAGGATATGTATTATCTAATGTTTCTTTATTTTTTATGATGTGAGAGCATTAACGTCGTCGCCGTAAATACAAAATTTATTTATAAAAACCAAGATGTGGACGTATTATTTATTTATTTATGACCACCGCCGAAAAACAAGAAAGAAGAACACAAGAAATTTTCTGATTGTATTGGTGGTTATTCTGAAAAGTTTTGTATGATAGTTTTGTCTCTGTTCTGCATACATGTTCTTACAATAGTATGCAGATGTAATGTTCGCTCGGAAGAGAACAGCTGGCTGACAAAAAAAGAGATTATTCAAAGCATTTTTATATATAATAATTAAAATAACTTAAGCCGATAGCCTGTGTTGCTAGTGCTCAATGTCTTTTTTTAGTCTAAGAATTCATTTCATTAGTCTAAAATTAAAATAATAATAATAATAAAACCTTAGAAAATATTAAGAAAATGTGCAAAAAAAGAATTTGCAAACACGTGGATAATTTCTTTACAAAATAAAAAATTGTACATCTTTTTTTGGATATTAAGTTTGCATACAAAATCTAAAAGTGAATGTAAAGAAGAAGAAATTTAACCACAAACGAATGAAAAGAATGGGGAGGAAGAGATTGAGAATAATGAAGAGAATAACGAAGAAGTAACGTAAGAAAAACTATAGTGACTGTTAACTAATAAAAACTTGAGCATAGGATTGTAACAGTAACAGTGCTGCGGAAAGAGAAGATAAAGGAAAAGCAAACATAGAGAAAGTCACTAAACAAGAAAACATTTCCAATGATGTCAATAAGCGTTGCACTGTATTTATAAAAAATTTAGCATTTGATAGGGAATGTCGCAAATACGGACCCGTTTCTATATGCAAGTTCTATATGTAAGTCTATTACAGCGTATCTAGAAAAGTTTTTTTACACATATCTTGTTTTCTTATTTACAGCCGGTCAATACTTAATTTACATAGACAAAAGATCTTTTTGCTCATCAATGTAAATTGATTACATTTTATTTATTAAAGTAATGGAAGGGTTAAGGATTGTCCCTTAATAATATCGGATTTTTTTTACTCAAGAAGCTCTTGATAGCGTGAAGTTTTTTGAAATTCTGCCATTATGTAGTCATAGTTATCACATGGACAACACCCATTGATATGTAAACATTGTTTGATGATGGTATATACGAGCTAATTAATTTAATGTGTAATAAATGTAATGTAATGTTATTTTTGAAGACTCATCAAATTCTGAAATGGAAAATGCTAGAGGGAAGAGCGATTCCATCAATTAGTTCAAAATAGCATTATGAGGTGTACGGACGAGGCTCCTGCATGAATACTCTTCCGAGCTTGCTTCTTAAGTTGCTGACTGCTATAATGTTTTAGACTATTGTGCGGCGCCGAGCTTGAGCAAGTGGGTTTGGCCGCACTGTCCTCGCTCAAAAGTTATCAGTAAGCGCTTTCCCTTCACCATCAGTCTTGCTGTTGTCTGCTTTTTGCGTGGATTCATCGCTATGATTGTTTTTGTCTGGCTCGCTCAATTGTAAACAAATTTCAGCTCGTATGAGAGGAAATAAATGAGCGACCACTTGTTTGAATGTATTTGAACTTCGAATTTGGTATTATTATATATTTAGATGGCGATATTTCAGAGGTCTTAAGTAAATACTTAACGCTATCTGCTAATCTCATTATAAGCAGCTTGTATTTGCAAGGAAGTGGACGAGCTGCTGGAAGAACTTACTAAACTTACAAAGGAGGATGAGCAAACTGAATTTCTAAAGCGGTTGTGCAATCAAAGTACAAATTCAGACTTAAAAACAGTAAACTCAAGTGAATTGCTAAAGAAAGAAAATATTTAGATATATATAATTTTGTTGTGCATTAGGTTATACGTATTATTAAGCAGGGTCGTAAAATGAACGCGAAGGCAAGCCATGTTTTTTACATTTGCTTGAAGCTACATTCACTTGATATATTATACAAATTTTTTGTTTAAATTTACTTATCAGTGAATATTTTTCATGCGCCTCATTGATTTTTAATCGATTTTTGATGGCCCTCATAGATTTTTCATGTTTTTCATTGATTTTGAATCAATTTTTCATGCCCCTCATTGATTTTTAATCAATTTTTCATGCCCCTCGTTCATTTTTAATCAAGTCAAAGGGGCTTCTTCTTGGCCCTCTGCCCCTTCTTTCACAGCGACGCCTCCTTCCTCCGCGTCGCCCTCTTCTGCTACCACGACGCCGAGCACCGCCCTGTTGGGTAATATGAGATGGGGCAATGGCCCGACGCTCATCCCTTTCCCGCTCGCGTTGCCCCCTTTCATGCACCACTTTTAAAATGGTTTCTTTTTCGTTTTTTACTAAAAAAAAAGGAGAAATTTCGATCAAATGCCTGGCAACTGACGCGCGCGAGATCGTACGCTTTTGATTGTCCTATTGCTTAAATTTTTCTTATCGTTTTATACGCGTTTAAAGCTAAGTATTTGTAAAAATATAAAAGTAGTAAAGGTGTAAAAGTGTAAGAATTACATTAATTACATTAAAATTTTATGATTTTCATTTTGGTTCTTGCGATTAGCACTGTGCTCGCAATAATAAATCTCTTTCGAGATTTTAACACCACAGTTGGTGTTAACAGCTTTTTTCTTGGCTTGTTTACCGTTGCTGCAGTAGTGTAAATTTTACGTGTAATTTAAGAGATAATTTTTCTGATTTTTATTCTCTCTTTTTTTCGTGCTTCCAGTTTGGTTTTGCTTTCTCTTGTTCTTTTGCTTTGTTACAGTGACAACGTAACGGAGAAGTTTTCTTAAATTTCTTAAATTTGTAGATAAATTTAGTGTTGTGGATTCTTTTGAATTTGTTCTTTTTGTCCTAATAACTCTTTTTTCTCTTTGTTGACTTGACATGGAGTGCTTATATACACCATGTTGCGTAAAAATAGGCCCGGAATCTATCTTCGAATTCTGGCAAATTAAAGGAGAAGTAAACAATCTATCTTTGAATTCTGGCAAATTAAAGGCTTTGGTTATGCAAAGTTTGCTGGTATTCTCGGCCGTGCTGCTGACGCCGTCGCTGAAAGAGAAAAATAAATTATCCTCTCCCCTTGGCTGTTCGAATGTGAACGTTGGTCACAAGACTGGGCAAGTCGCACAAGCTGCTGGTGCCAGAACGATAACGCCATCTCTATTCTCCATAACTCTAAACTCTCCAACCGTGAACCCTCCTGTTCCAAGTTATGACATTTGCTTGACGGCAGTTCCTCCCAGAAAAGCAATATTTGTGTCAAGACTGGTACCTGAAACATCGGTGGATAACATAAAAAGTTATCTGACGGCGAAAGTCCTATCAGTCAACTTAAAGCGCGTTAGAATTTGGGAAATAGCTCCTTTTCAATCTAGGGCAATCTCTTCTTTTAAAATACTAGTTACGACTGACAACAGTGATATGTTGTCAAACAAACCACTGTGGCCAGTAGGATCTCTAATTAAGGAATTTATCCCTCGAGATGGTCCCCGTAAGACCAAAGCAATAGTCCTGTCGCCTTCAAAAAACTAAATGTTTCTTCAGGCCCTTTTTCTCATTTATCAAAATGTTAGGGGCCTAAATTCAAAAATTCGTTCCACTTTTCTTAATTCAGTGAGCACGGAGTTTTTCTGTGTGGCCTTAACTGAAACTTGGCTAAAACCCGATCTTCACCCGACCTTTTTCACAATTCTTTTCAAGTCTTTAGAAATGATCGAGTGAATCGCATTGGTGGTGGTGTATTAATTGCCATATCTGCGTCAGTCCCGTCCTATTCAATAGAATTTCCCACTTCTCCTAACGTTGAATTTATCGCTATTCGGGTGAAAATGCCTAATAAACACCTACTTATAACCTGCTCCTATATTCCTCCAAATTCTGAGATCTGCATTAGCAAGAAGCAGGCTGCCCTCATTTGTGAAGAGGCCAAGCGGTCTAGACCCACCGATTTGGTCGTTGCATTGGGTGACTTCAACTTGCCTCAAATCACTTGGTGTAACAGTGATAATTCTGGCTGCTTGATTCCTACTTCAACGTCTGACAGGGCTGTTGCGTATTTTAATGAATTGTTTGATCATAATTTGGTTCAATATACCCGTGCCCCTAATTGTAATGGTACACTGCTTGATCTCTGCTTTGCCAATTTTCCTGAAATCAACGCAAATTGTTGTCCACCTTTCTTTACCTGAGGTTCCTTATCATCCATCAATGTGCCTATCCTTTCATCATAAGAACGAAGGTTTGTTGAACTGCCTTAATGTGCCGAATCAAACTTTTTTAAATAAATATTACGATTTTCATAAAATCAATATTGTGTTGCTAAAACATCGTCTTTGACATATGAGCCTTGATCTCTCAACCGGAAGTATTGACAGCTTATTGTCATCGTTCTACAATACTTTAAATCTAGCTATTGCTGCATCTCTTCCAATCATGCAGTGCCGACCTCGAAGCAGGTGCCCCCGTGGTTTAATAAGACAAATATTACAAGAATAGGAAAAACTCGACTATTTCGCTTACTCAGTGGCGAGGCATAGATTTAACTCCCTCAACCACTATTATTACTGCAGATACCTTCAGTTCATTAAATCCTCTCTTTGATTTCTCGGATGATTTTGAAATCTCAAATCTGTTTGCTGTGTATTTCCGACGAAACTTTTCGATTTCTAATTTCGATTTATCAGCAAACTACCCATATCCTATAACTAACTTGGTTTCAATTCCTTGGTTTTATAAAAAGGTGGTCCAAAGAGCTTGACGATCCCTACATAACGAAAAGGCTGTACATGTGTTTGGTTAGACCCATACTCGATTTTGCCTCCGTTGTGTGGTCTCCTTCATATAGGTGCTATGTAGATTCAATTGAATCTGTTCAAAAGCAATTCTTGCTGTTTGCTCTTAGAAATTTGGGTTGGAATCTGATTGCCTCTCTTCCTCCCTATGAAAATAGGTTGCTTCTGTTATCCTTACCGTCTCTTGAGAAACGTAGGTTTGTTCTTGGCGTTTCCTTTGTAATCAAAGTAATAAATGGTGCTATTGACTCACCTTCATTACTTGGTGAGGTATGCTTTAATGTCACTAACCGCTTCTCTAGGCACTTTATCTTGGTTAAGCTTAGTCAGTATAAATATAATTATGAGCTGTTTAATCTGCTCAGAGTTGTTTGCAAGAAGCTAAATGACGTCTATCACTTATTCTCATTATCGGACTCTTTAAAGTCGTACTTAAACTAGTTTTTAACCTTTGTAAGGAAGCCATTTTGCTTCCTTACGGAATACAAGTCCGTCCGCCTGAAATAGCTATCCACAGCGAACCACCTGACAGTCCGAGCTGTCTGTAAACGGCTGTCCAGACAGGGTAATAAAGCATGAACAACCTCCTCCAGCATAAGTCAAGAACTCAAATGTATAAAAGCATAGATTTAAGAACTCAATAGGTATAAAAGCATGAGTCAAGAACTCAAATGTATAAACCCGTAGATTCAAGAACTCAATAGGTATACAAGCAGGATTAAGAACTCAAATGTAAGAAGGGCTAAGTAAAAACTCAAAAGTATAAACACAAGTAAGAACTCAAAATGCTTAACAGCAGATATAAGTATTCAAATGTAAATAAGTAGGCAAATGCAAATAAGTATTCAAATGTAAATAAGTATTCAAATGAAGAGAAGAACTCAAAGGGAAATTAGAATTCAAATGTGAATAAGAACTCAAATGTAAATAAGTACTCAATAAGATCTCAAATGTAAATAAGAACCCAAATGTAAATGAGAATTCAAATGTGGAAAGCATAGGTTTAAGAACCCAATCTGTATTAAAACATAAGTATAAGAACACAACCTGACTTATACAATTAAGTAAAATCGAATCGGTATGAACGCAGTAGAATACACGTACACTCACATGAGCTCAAACACACACAGAAGCTACAGCAGCATTGCACAAAGGTATAGCACCGTTAGGTCACATTGAATCTTCAAATAATGTAGAAAGCTGATAGCACCGTTAGGGCAAACAAAACACGCAGAACTGACCTTAGGTAGAAAATCTATACATGCAAAACGAACAAACTTCAGCAAAAATCTCTATGTTGTAAAATGCGCAGAATGTGTAGCACCGTTAGGAAAACTTACAGGAGTAAGTACGTAGATAAGAAAAATAAGAACTTACGACAATGCATAAACTGCATACATAAAATGCACAAAGGCACGATCACACATGCCAAGCACGTAGAAACACACAAAGCAAAGCGTGTGCAAACACAAAGGCATAGTAAGGCACAAGCACTCACGTACCTAACGGTGGTTGAATCACGCGATTTGGTACCTGGGTGTCTGTTGAGCGGACATTTAAACAAGCATAATGATAAGCTAGACGTAAGTTGGTATTAAGTTATGTATAAGCAGGATCCTGCAAGCCGTAACTAACCGTAACTAGGTTGCGACTGCAGCCAACCTAAGATAAGCATACACACAAGCACAGTACCTCAAGGCATATGTAAACACATAGAACATGTTGGCAAGAGGGGAAGCGAGCGGGACTTCAGCTATAAAAGAGCAGCTCGGCACACAGATTCTTTCAATTTGATGCCATAGCTGCCTAAGGTAAGTGCGGACAGACAATTTGGCAAGTCAACCTTTTTCTTTACTATTTTATTCTGACTTACGGATAGGGGATGTGCTGACTTAGCTGTTAGTCGCCATCTCTGAAAGACTGGGGAACACCTTTTTTGGCACTTATACACGAATGACCAACCTAAGACAAACCGCCGGCCCCGAGAGCCATGGCAGCTCTGACACTGGGAACGTTTCTGTTTTTCTGGAGCGCCGCGGTAATTCGACGAAAGCAATAACAGTAACAATAAATAAATCGAGCACCACGTGTAAGCCACAGCAGAAGTCGGGTCACCTCGCTGGTTCCTTTCCTTGCCATAGCCAGCTTCTACACATCGCTGTACTTCTCTCCAGTAAAAAGGAAATAAT